GGCGTTCCGCGTTCTAACGCGTTTGACGAGTACAGTGGATACAAAGGCAGCCATCACTAATCATTCGAACCAGGTCTCGGCGTTCTGACCTCCCTGCGCGCTCTAGTCATCTCTTCTCTCGCAGTGTTTCGTCGAAGAGGGCTGACTTTGACATACTATATGTCTATCTACAAAACGGAATACACCCGCGCAATCAAAGTGTTCGTCCTCCACACAGTCCGAGTGAGAATAGCGGGAAAAGCTAAAACATTATTTCGCATTTATTTATTTATTTTTCGTCCGCAGTACCTCTGACTGCCTAAACATATCTGGGTGTTGCATGTTTGGACAGAGTGAGCTGAATCAGCCTGAGAAGGGAGGCAATTTCCCTTGCGCTTTACATGAGAAATTTGGCCAGTGCAGTATGCAACTCGCGGCACTACTGGAAAATTAAAATCATCGAAGTGCAGCTGTGATTTCACGATAAGGAGCCTGTATCTGTTGGTCTGAGAACAGATGGCCAACGCTGTCTTCTTCCGACTGCTGCCATCATCACAATAAAACAAAACACTGCTTCAGCGCAGCGTCTTCCGCGGCGCTTCAGAGATGGCGCTAGAACATCACGGCGTTGATGATGCTCCCTTGCCCGCGAAATTTAAATGTCCAAGGTGGGCTCACAGGGGCAGCCGACATTTATTAACCAAATGTTGTTTTCATACTAGGATACGAGCTCCAGAAGTTAAGACCTAGGCATTTCCTTTCGACGGAATGTCTCAATAAAGCAAATCGGTGACTTCTTGCATGCTGGCACGAAATTGTAATTCAGCTATGACAGCGGGAATATAGCCAACCAGAGTGGCGGTCACTCCACTGTTGAAGAGAAATTTATAGGGCTGGGCGTATATTAAAACTTTTAACCACATTTATCGATTAATTAATCAATTAATCCATCTCGTTCATTTCCATGCATAATGTATAAAAAAGCAAAATATTTTTTTGTGATTTTGTTGAATATGTGACAAACGGCGCAATATAAAATTTGATTTTGAATCAACCTCAATGTGCAGTTGAAAACAGCTCCAAGACACTCGCGCTCACAGACTATTACTTCAGCTACATGAGGCCAAGAGGTTCGTTGATATCCTCCGGCAAGAGCGACCTCCTTTGATTCTTCAGAATAGTCTCTGCAGCGCTAAACAGGCACTCGAACGGCGTTCAAGTGGCCGAGCCACGTGTAACCTTCTGCAATTGCTTGGACTTACAAATTTCGTTCCTACACTTAACTTTAGAAAAAAAGTCAGCAAAATTTCGCCCCTCATACAGGTGTATTCGTCGAGATCTGCTTGGTGAAAGCGTTAAATTTTACTTTCATGTGATTACGCAATATTTTACCAATTAATGGTGACTAAAAAATTAATGGTGATTAAAACAGTAGTCAATTAATCGGTATGTTAATCGATCAATTGCTCAGCCCTAGAAATTTAGCCATTGCGTGACTACTGCTTCTTTGGCATGCTAACGTGGATCACGCAAGTGATACAGGACCGCATGCCGCTTCGGTATAGAAGTAGGAAAATTTAGTCTAAGGCCGTATTTTACCCGTATTTCTTAAGGGCGGACCAGGGCACCGGTTTATAATATTAAAAATAAATATTTGGTTTTACCGATTAGTCGTTTGAATTGAATAGCGCGGCTTCAGTCATAATCTTCCCAGGTTAAGAGACGACGGAGGTGAGGGGAGGGGGAGGGGCGATTGTTTTCCCCCTCCACCGTATTCGTTACATTAAATTTTCGAAACTTCTAGGGGCGAGGGGCCAAAATCTTCTTCCTACCCCTCTTTCGCCTCTCCTCCAGCCCTGTTCCGAATCCCTTGCGTGAAGCCAACTGTCTTTACAAACTTGAAGCTAGGAATGATGCTTAACACTGCACAGTTCAACTCAAAGCAAAATTCTCGTGCCTCTAAACAAAATTTTCATCACGAATTTGAGCGTTGCATACCTGAAACCGAATGCATGTTTTTTTGGTTTTTTTTATAAGCCACCGATGTTTGCCTACTTCAATGCTATCACGCGGTTCTAAAATGCGCTTCAAAGATTAGTGAACTCTGCATTTCTGAAACGTCGACGTTTCAGAAAGGCTGAGTTCACGAATCTCCTCTTCGTTTTTCCAAGCCAGTTGGGTTCGGTATTCTCAAAACTCGACATACCAGTTCGTGCGTTACGTCGCCGGTAAAAGGTTCCCCTCCTTTATCACAAAGTGAACAGCGAGACATTTTTTTTTTTTTTGAGCCTATACATTCCAATATTTTGCTTGTGTGCGCCGCGCATTAGCATGCGCAGTCGCACTTTTTTTTGCGGCATATTGAAGTAATCAGACGCATATTATGCGCCCGCAGCCAACACCACTTCGAATATGATTAAAGCCCGTGCACTAGCATTTCGACGTCCTCACAGCCAGATCGAGCAAAGACGGAGACTGCACATGAGAGCTCTGTCAGTGTTCGGTTAGGCAGGCACGTAGCCAGGTGGGGAGGGGGGGGGGGGGGGGGGGGGCAGGGGGCCCGGGTTCCCCCCGAATTCCTCCATTTTGCTGGGTCCTCCTCTCCCTCCTCCCCCTCATACCGCATTTTGTCATGGGTGGACCGCCCCCCCCCCCCCCCCCTCTCCCGAAACAGAATCCTGGTTCCGTGCCTGCGGCTAGGCCTAGCGTTCAATCATGGCGTCGATACACGCCGTCAGGCTCGAGGCCAACGGCTGAGTTGACGCCATTCAACTTTGATCACGATACGTGGAGGTAGAGGGGGATACCACGAGCTTCAATTATTTGAGGTAGTGCAGCCCGTACATGGGTAAATTACGTCCGAAATGTAATTTAATTACAATTGCAATTACTTGGCTTCAAAAGTAGTTCAACTACAATTACAATTACCGTATTTTCCGGACTATAGTCCGCACCCGGTGTATAGTCCGCAGGGGGAAATTTGGGGTCAAAAATGAAAGATTTTGCTTAGATAGCCCGCACCCGCTGCATAGCCCGCACCCGGTGTATAGTCCGCACCTGGTGCTTAGTCGACACGAAAATCTTCTGATAGACGTTTACAAATGACTGCTTTTTAGCTCACAATAAAGCCTATAATGTGCATAAATTCATCATTAACATACACTTTCCTGCACAAAATTCGTCACGTCTCGTCATAATAAACGATATTGAAAAACATAATTCCTGTATAGTCCGCACGCGTAGATAGTCCGCACAGCCAGAAATTTCAACTTTTAAACATGTATAGTTCGCGGACTATAGCCCGGAAAATACGGTACTACTCCGTGAAAAGTAATTAATTACAATTATAAATTCCTTTTTAAAAGTATTGCAATTACTTTACCATTACTTATTTCTGAGAGCAACCCGACTTGGGTCATATAACTTTAAATGAGTTGACCCAATGTATTAGGAGGCTTAAGCATCGCGGCATAAATATTACGTATTGTACTTCCCTTTTACGAATTTTGCTAAATTTATGAAGTACTACGTTTTTTTATATGTTTAATAAATAATATTAAATTCGTTTATATGCTGCAAGACGCTACATCGCTAAAATAAATTCGGGTTGACAGACTTTTGTTAGCCACGCAAATAAGAAATGCGACAATTAGTCTTGTATGGTTATTTTACAAGTGTTAATATAAAACCAAAATCCACACGCGCTAATACGACCACATTCACATACAGACATCATGTTATTGTAAATTATTTACACTGAGTTGAAATTATAATGACTCAGAAATACATGAGAACCGAATCGGGGCTCCCGAATCATTGGTGACAATATGCACAGGTGCGAGGTCAGTCTCCAAAATGCTTAGGCGAATGATATCCGAAGAGGAAATAAACTTGAAAATAATACAAAGATACAAATAATGCGCTTGTACTGGAAGGGGGGCGTACAAAACTGACAAAAAAACGAAAAATAACTTCATAGACAATGAAACTTTCCAACCTCGGCTGAAAGCTGAAGCTCAATTTTCTTTGTCTCAATATTTTGTCATGTTTACGTTTCTAGTTTCAGCTCGCACCGCAGATGGCGCTACACGGTGCCGTTGATGTAGGCTCCAAAGAGGATTGTTCTCAGCCCGCAGTGTAAGCAACGAAAGACAAACAACGCCAAGTTATTTTTGTTGTGCATGCGTGTGCGTGTCACCGAGCGCCAGGGCGCTTGTGCGAGCGCTGAGGCTTTCAGAGGGGTTCTGTAGGTGCCGCAAAGTCTTGCAAAAGTAATTGTAATTGTGCCTGAAATTTTGCAATTACTGGCGCTAGAAAGTAATTAAATTACAATTACAATTTCTTTTAACCGGAAGTAGTTATCAAAATTACAAATTACCCCAAAAAGTAATTAAATAATAGTAATTCAATTACTGTAATTGAATTACTACCTAAGTATGGTGCAGCCACAGCCCGGCGAGTCGGCATTTTTCCCTCAGATGATATGTGCTGGAAAGATGTATTACACATTTATAGAGGGAGAGAAATAAATAGAAACAGTGGAATTTCGGAATTTCAGTAACCCCTTCAATCTGGTCGTTCACCTCCCTAAGATTGCATAACGCACTCAAGCGAGCGAAGTCTGGCCCCCTCCCAAGAGATGGCCCTACCCGTGTCGTCCGTCCTCTCAGCCTAGCGAACCCTCAGACAGATGGCGCTAGCCACGAGGGGCGTTGCCTAGCAACCTCGGCGTGCGGCGAAGCCCAAACAACTTCCGTCTGGCGTCGCCGGCGTGCTTGCGCGGGACGGCCGAGCGGTGTCTGCCAGGTGCCATTCCTTTGTTGGGACAGGTAGCGAGCTCCCGCCGTTGACCGAGTTCCCGCATGTGCTCCCGTTGCCTCCGCCGGTGCCGTGCGCTGCTGCCGCTGCCCAAGTCGCTGACCGGCGATCTCGTCTTGTGATGCTCGCCGGACGGTCGCTCGCTGTGGTCGGGCTTCTGGAATACTGCGAGACTGCGCGGTGATCTGCCGACCGGTGCCGCTCGTAGTGTGTGCGTGATTTTCTCGTGGTGCTCCGTCGTACCGTTCGGATTGGCCCGGGGTGCGTGTGGAATACCGCCGGATTTCGTGACCGGATACAATTATCTGCCCAGGGATTCTTTTCGGTGAGTAAATGAAAGCCTACGAATGTGTGGCTCCTTTGTATTTATCTTTCGGGGCGTTCTGTTGGCAGGATGTTGAAAACTCTGAAAAAAAAATGGTGCTTTATTATCCGTCACGCAATTCAAGAGCAGCAGGAGATTGACATTTGGAAGAATGGTATAACAATTATATGATATCTGAAATATTAAACTTTTTGCAAATCTTAAGGGTGCAGGCGAGCTAATGAAATACTAACCATGTTGAATTAACCTGAGACTGGGGTAGAGAAGAAGCATCAAAACGTAGAAGGGACGTTTTGATGTTTCTTCTCCACCCCAGTCTCAGGTTAATTCAACATGGTCAAGTTTCTAATGCATTGCAGTCTGCCTCTTGTTGACAAACTGCTAAATATGCTGCTGGGAAGTTTTCAATAGTAATAATTACTTTTCTTACGTCGTTTTAAAGCTACGGACAATCTGTATGAACAGTCAGTCAATGTTTACAAGAATTCTAAGGTTGATAACATCAAAACGTTAAGAATGCAGCTATGTTATTGTTTTTTGTTGTCGTTCAAGCCCATTCCCTGTTTTATTATTATCATTATTATTATTATTATTATTATTATTATTATTATTATTATTATTATTATTATTATTATTATTATTATTATTATTATTATTATTATATTTTCATCATCCGACTTGCCGGATTCTGTTCCACAAGCCCATTGCGGCTTGGACAGACCCGTATTTGTACTCTGTTTCTGAATTCCTGTCTAATGAACTTTATTATTATTATTATTATTATTATTATTATTATTATTATTATTATTATTAGATTTATTTTTCGCGGGGTCAGAACCAAAGGTCAAAATATTTACTTTGGGGTGAATTTTTTTCTCCAAAAAGATTACTACGGCAAAAAAAAAATTCTTTCCGCGAGTAATAATAATTAATAATAATAGTAATAATTTCTTCATTTAATGCGCCCAAAAACAACCACGCGGGTCTTCACCTTGGCGCACACAAGACAAAAAGAAGAAACACAGCACACAAACCGCTTAAAATGCACAAATTAGCATGACTACAAATAGGACGCACACTTCACACAAAATGTAATAGAGTTTCAATTTTCAACTAGACTTGCCAAGTTCCGGCGAAAAACTAGGAGATCAGTGAAAATTTCCAAGCTTATGACCTTAGAAGAATCAATCATGATGTGTGAAAGCTGTCTGAATCCTAAAACGAGTGTCAGAGAGCCTGAAATCTCCACAACAACTCCTTGATAACGAAATGGATGCAAAATCAACATAAAAATACCACACAAGCTGGCAGTTTTTAAGGGCTCTAACGATTTTCTCAGGGTATGTACTTTTTCATGTTTCGTGATTACGATTAACACTATCATTATTATATAGCGAAGAGAACCTCAGACCTTAGAAAGTCATGACGCCCTTCAATGCCGAGAAGTTATCCCAACAAGTTCAAGTGAGAAACCACCACACTCAATCTATGTCACCAAAGAAATATTGGTCACACACTAAAACGCACAGATAATGCTTATTGGACGCCTCAAGCAGTACCACAATATGGTTTGCAGTAAATCCCAAAACCTATTTTGTTCAAGCTTTCGTCTTCCAGCTTCACCTTTGAAGCTTGAGCGGTCTAATGTTGCGTGCGTCACGGAAGAAAGCAACGAAATACGTTACCCCCTACGTGAAAAAAAAAAAAGAAATGAAAGCGTTACAAACCTACGTTACCTAAAAATAAAAGGAACGCGTTACAGTTCACGTTTAAGAGTAACGCACGTTACTTTTGCGTTACTATTTATTTGGGAATCAGAACATTTTACTGTTCTGACATTACAGGCGTGCATAAGCGCCATATTTCAAGAAACATTTAGTCCATGCACAAACTTACCATGATTGTCTTATCTTTTTTGCGGTTTTGATTTTGAAAGCATGTGGGTTGAGTGCAAGAATTCATTTAACTTGGCGCCTAAAATGATAATACGAGTAACCTAACCACGTTACCCCTTACTCGAAATAAATAAAGTACGTTATCCCTTACTGTCTTGAAAAATGCAACCAGTACGTTACTACGTTACAAAAAGTAACGCGTCACGGTAACGCCGTTACTACCAACGCTGGGGTTGGTATAAATGTATTCATCCTTGAAACCGCGCGTTACGTTGCGCTCTTCAAAAATAGTCTGAAACATGGTAGCATCATTACTCCTTATGTACCTCTCGACCGACTGCCATTCATCGTTCTCTTTGTGCATTACATTGTGCCCTATTTTCCGCTGCTCCGATCATTACGAATAGTTCCACAGTCAAGGCATGAAACTTCTCCGTAAGAAGACTAATAGAGTTGGTATCCTGTAGAGAAGCTCTAACGATTCCATCCGAAGGTACCAGGGACCTTTTGTAGATCGCATGCAAAATTATTTTTGCTATGTAGAGGAACCCGGTGTCTACACTTCGATCTCGGACTGAGTACGCTACCGCAGGCCCCTCAAACCGCTGGGCACGATTCACAAAAAGTATATAATATTCCGTCTCGCGTGTCACACCGGCATTCCACGCTACAAATGCATTCAGAGCAGAAAGTAACTTGATAATCGTAGCCCGCCTTCTCGACCCATAATTAAAGCTTAGAGAATTTTTCATGCATGATTATATATGCACATATATTTGTTTCTTTCATCATTCTGGCTTTTCTCCCAAACCTTCTAATAATTGCGATGACTGTATGTTTACACAACCGGAAGTTAGTCAGCCTCTAAGGGGCCCCTAGTGTATCAGATGTAGGTGAGACATTTAGCTCGTGCAGTACAACCGCAAGCCTGGGGTCTTTAACGTGCACCACGCAGCAGTGATACACGACCGCGCGCCGATACGATGCTCATACAGATCGAAACGGGCACGGGTGGGGATAGACCGGTCTCACCAAGTGTTCGGCGCATGCGTGCGGCCGCCATAACTTTAGTTCACAGGAGGCAAGCGGCAGCGCCCGAGACGTCTCGTGCTCTACACTCGCAGAGCTCCAGCGAGGTTCTCGCAAGTGCAGGAAAACTAAAGTTCGCTCGATGCATGGCGCTAGCCCACTTGGCCACCGATCACTTGTTGTGAGAAGGATGTACCAATAGACCCCAAACAGTAACCCCCGAGTGGGTTTTATCAAAATCGGGGAAAACAGAACTCTCCGAACTGGAGTTGTCGTCCAATAGGAAAATCCCAAGCATAACGGAAAAGGGATCTTTATCTGCAATTTTTGTTTAAAGTTCACCAGGAAAACAGTCCGCAATTAACTGTCCGCGAGGCTTCTTCTTTCTTCGAGGACCACACCCCTTACCTAGTTTTTCTTCTCTTATTGCTACCAAAACTTTTTTTTTTTTTTGGAAGGGGGGGGGGGAATTGTGTCAGGTATAGTTCTTTGGAGCTTGGGGTATTCCACGCTCGAGTCCTGCTTTCTGCAACATAAGCCCCAATAGGCGCCACACTTTTGTTTAGCGCCAAAAATTGAGACTGAAGAAGAAAAAAATACCGAACCTGTGGGAAGAAATGAGCCCCCAAATAAAATACCCCAAATTCGGAAGAAAAAAAAAACCCAAAACACGAAACCCTACTTATAACACACATGCGAACCAATAAGCGGACTTGGACGGTACTCATTGCAATTCATCAAATTACTTCTACTCGATTACTTTTTGAAGTAATTTTGTAATCATTTCATTGCGTTTATTAGCAAATGATCACCAAAGTAATCTGAATACCTTTGAGAGTACTAATTACCCGTAACCGTTACCCCCCCCCCCTCTCTCTCTCTCTCTTTCTCCAAATGCCCTTTATTTTGACGACTTCCCTACCAAGAAGTCCTCGAACCGTATGTCTCCGACAGGAGGTTCATTTACCAAAGTTGGTGGATTTATCGGAAGTACCTTATCCTTATCCAAAACAGCAGAAAAATCTGCGTAATCTAAAAAGTAACGGTACTTAAGTGCCCGTCAATAAGTTTTCTTCTTGAGTAACGATTTACGTAACCTAATCGAATGTTATTTTTTTTTAACCAAGAGTAATTGTATTTGCAGTTGATTACTTATTGTCGACTAGCGTGAATAAAACTGCAATTAAGTCATCGGACATCATTTTCAGATGGTAACTTATGTGCGACAGAAAACTTTCAACGTGCTTATTGTTAGGCCGCAGATTTTCAGGTGCTTATTTACAAGAGAAATCGGAGGATGTGTTGTTGTTGTTTTTTTGTGTTTATTTACTTTTGAAATATCGGTATATTTCGGTCATCCGTTTCGGATGACCGATAAAAACATGTGAATATCGGTTCAAAATTTCTCAATAACTTAAGTATTCGACTCTAAGCAAGAAGGCCTTCGACAGGAACAGTCTTAGCTGGAGCAAACATTTCCAAAAATCGGTATTTCTCGGTTTTAAACGATATTGTGTTTCATCGGTGTATTTTGTTTTAACCGAAATCATATTTTTGTTACCTATAGATGTTTCTCGGTGATTTTGGTTAAAAGGCCGAAAGTCTACGGCATACTTATTAACAACTTCATTGTGCATTGCTCGCCAGAAGTGTAATGATTAAAACTATCATCCCGCTCCCCTTTCATGTGTCAGCATCATGTCGTTTAACACCTTGGACTGTGGTGCAGGAAACAAAAAACCTTTTGGTCGAAGGAACAGACACTGCCTCGGGTGTCTCATGTGTCACACGGCAGGATTATATACCACCAGCTAACTTGCGCAATTACAGCATTTTCACTAATATGAGCAAAATCTTTATAAGCCAAATGATTTGAGAGCAGGACTGTATGTCTTCTTTTCACCTTCTGTTGAGCAGTGTTTCTTTCTTGCAGTTTCTCAGAAAGGAAAAAGGATATTCGGCGGTGAGGACGACATGGTTTTTGAAAAAAAACTTGTTTACATCACGTCATTGTCATTCTGCTTTGGGTTTCAGTGATTCCATCAATATGTTTTATCAGTGGTCGTAGTCAAAGGA